ACTCTCAGGCACCAGACAAGACGAATGCCTACATAGGTTCGTTGTCCCCTTCTGGGCCCCACTGCCATAAGCCATCTCCTGAAAATCCATAATCATAAGTATCATTAGTATGATTAAATATTTTAGTATAATTTTGAATCCTACTTCCAAGTCTCCCAGAGCGATAGTTATGAGGCAGCAAAGAATAAAATGTAATAAAGCATAACAAGCACACAGAGCTCCAGAAAATCAAGGTGGAACGCCGGCATCTTCTCCCACGATGAGGCCTTGCCATCATCCCTTCACGATGAGGCCCTGTAAACATCGTGTTTCATTAAAATATTTTCATCAGGCTTTAATGTTATGAGTGGGAGGCGCCCCCGCATCTTAGTAAGTATACATCATCAGCAATTTACTTCTTGCTCATATTACCATCCCATGTGGGTCAATGGGATTGGGGTTCTGCTCTACACAGTCATTTAGGGACTTACACTGCTTCTCTCTCAGCACATAGCTTTAAGGTTGTCATGGCATCAGCCAGCTAGTGGATAGGAAAGAAAGAGAATAGTTTAGCATGCTTTCTTTTAGCTGCCTCCACACAAAAGTCACAACACTTCAGCACACATTCTGTTGGTAAGAACCAGCACATCTAGTTAACAAGGCCCAAGGGGGCTGAGAAATGTGGTTTACTTATGCACCCAGGAAGAAAAGTAAATGAGTTTGGTAGATATCTAGCTTGTCTCTGCCAGACTATACCCATCCAACAACCAAATATCCATTTCATTCTTCTTCAGACACAGACCCACTCATCCCCTCCCCAAAGCAGACAGCCGAAAGTCCCACTCAGGACTCTGCACATCTGAAAGGCCAGGATTTCTAGGTGAAGCACAGTCCTCCCCATAGTCTCCATTATCCACCAGTGGATGAGTTAAAAAGACAAGTTTTATACTTCCTCATCTCTACCCAATATGAAATGGTGGAACTGCAACACATACTTCCATTCAGAAGGGTAGAGTAATATGTGAGGAAAATACAGCAGTCAGTGTTGCAACTTTGAAAACCACTGGAAAGATCTTATAAAGACCCCCCTAACTTAGGGATGGGAATTTTCCTTGATTAGGCCAATATTCTGCTCTTAAGGAAGAACTACCTTATTTTATATATATAAATAGTATGTATATATTATTCTGTATAGCCCCTGGTTCCTTTCCTTGGAGGATTCTTCTTGTATGTTATAACCATTGCCCACAACCAAAATGGGTTTTTGGGGAGGGTATGCCCATCTTGGGGGATATACTCCTTTCTCAGTCCACTTCCTGCCTGCAGGTAGTTTTAAGGCTCCCAGTCACTGGCTTTTTTGGTTTGGTTTGCCACAACCAAAATGGGTTTTTGGGGAGGGTATGCCCATCTTGGGGGATATACTCCTTTCTCAATCCACTTCCTGCCTGCAGGTAGTTTTAAGGCTCCCAGTCACTGGCTTTTTTGGTTTGGTTTTTTTTTTTTTTTTTAATAGGGTTGTGGTTTCTTTGGCATTACAGTTCCTTCAGAAAGTTTAGTAGACTTCTGATCTGTTTACTTCCATTCAGTTCCCTGTGCCAGTGGCCAAACTTAAAGTTCTTTGCTAGAAAAAGTTTTAAATCTGCTTTTTGTCTTTGTTTACTTGTCACTCTGTTATTTTCTCTTTATTTATAGCTGTCTGGATATTTTGGGGAACAATAACTTTAAGTGTGAAGAACCACCCTTAATATGACATTTGACAAGGGACTGAGTCACTCTTTTCAACTGAGAGAAGTCTCAGAAGATCTTGCTTTTTCATATCATTTTTCAGTGCTGAATCAACAGGTTTAGACACAGAGCTGAACCCAAGGGCTCTGAGTTTCTAGACTCGTTCTTTTCCCTTTCAATTCTACTTAAAAACAAGCTCATTCTATCCTGAGTTCATCTACCTTTTTGCAATATCTTTTCAAAAATAGACACTAGTAGCCAGTACTTATAACTTTGTTCTCTCCAGCCATTTCTCTTAGTACTCCAGGTTCAGCAGGCATGTGGTCTGCCTTATGAGTATTGTAGGTGACAGTGTAGCAGTTGTTTTGCCACTATAAAACATAGATTGCTATCACTTCCGCCTCTGATATCAGTTTCCTGCACCCAAAGCCAGACCACTCAGCCAGTGATACATATGTTGGGTTCTTGTCACCAGAGCATTCTAAGGGCAAGAACTAGTAAATGACCCTGTATAGACAGATGCAGGGTGGCAGGGAAATATGGTTTAGTTAGTACCCAGCAAGAGCAGGAAACAATTTCAGTAAGCATCTAGCCAGGTTCTGCTGCTGTGAAAAAGGAAAGAACTGTAATATTTTCTGATGATTCCAACTACTTTAGGAGTTTCTAACAGTTAATGAGAAGCCTTACATGATTAAATGGTAGCCTCTTAAACTGTTCTTTAATCTTGCAAATTATAAAATTAAATGACCTGTCTTAGTCTGTTTTTTGTTGCTATAAACAAAATATTTGAGGCTGGGTAATTTATAAAGAAAAGAGGTTTATTGGCTCACAATTCTAGAGGGAGGGAAGTCCAAGAAACATGGCACTGACATCTGCTTTGCTTCTAATGAAGTCTTTTGTGCTGTGTCATAACATTGCAGAAGGTCAAAGGGGAAGTGGACAGCAGCCAAACGTGAACTAATCCAGTCTTGCAAGAACTCATTGACTACCTTGAGAATGGCACCAAGCCACCCACAAGGGCAGAGCCCCCATGACCCAAACACTTACCACTAGGCACCACCTCTTAAGGGTTCCACCTCCCAACACTGCTACATTGGGGACCAAGCCTCAACATTAGTTTTGGTAGGGACAAACCATATTCAAACCATCGCATGACCTAATTGACCCTGATTAAATAATTTGAAGATAACAGTTCCCATATTTTTGGAGCCCATGTAGTTTGGTGACATTTAACTATACTTAGAACTTTTCCTTAAAGGTGTATTTTCCAGATTTTTAATATCCAATTGTTTGAATTGTCACATTTCATTTAAATACAGTCATGCATCACTTAACAGTGGGAGTACATTCTGAGAAATGTGTGATCAGGTGATTTTGTCATTGCGCAAACATCATAGAGGTATACAAACCTAGATGGTATAGCCTATTACACACCTAGGCTGTATAGTATAGCCATTATAATCTTACGGGACCATTGTCATATATATATAGTCTATTGCTGACTAAAAAATTCTTTTTTGGATGTTTTGGCACTTGACTATATTTTAAACTACAGAAATTATTTTATTTTAAAATCCTAGTGATTTTTCTGTTTTACTTTAAAATTTTTCCTGTGTTGTAATGAAATGCATGCCTGTAAGTATTTATATTCTATGCCTCCTTGGTGTGAATTACAATTAGTTCTTTAGTTTCTTATAGAAATGTGTAAAATGTTTTTCCTGCCTCAAACGCATGTTAACTTTATAAGAAGTTATGGATAAATGATATGTTACAAAAAATTTATGTAGAAATTTGTATTTCATTTTTCTTATACAAAAGCAATCTTAGTCTTGTTTGGTTTGGTCTTTCTTTAAAGTAGGTCTCAGAGTCACCTGTGTAACCCTTCATATTATACTGCATTAAAATTATCTGAAATTAAAAACAAGTATATGATACCATGTGAGTATTCATAGAATCACAAATAATGTATTTAACATTAGTTACTTAACTTGAATAGTTACAACTCATAAATGTTGTGTGTGTGTTTATAACTGATCTTTGAGGAGTTATTACAAAGGGTTCATGACTCTGTGTCCTGTTTTGTTTTATAGCTCTAAGAAAGTGGCTGATAATAAAGAAACTGAATTTGTTAGCCCTTTATCGCTTAAGATGAACCCAAACATTATGCCTCAAGACCCACAATATGTAAATCAATTTTTTGAAAAAAGTGATGAGAATGTGATTTTACAAAAGACAACAAATGTGGTTATGGAAAATAGCTGTCCAAAAGTAACTGCTGTGGAAGAACAGATCAACAAAACATATCTTGATATTTTAAGGAAAAAAATATCTGTTAATCCTCCATTATTACCTCAGGATGACAAAATTAATAAAGTAAGTATTTATAATCTAAATTGATTTGATATATTGAGAAACAAAATTATGTAAAGTGTGTGAGTACTATTGATAAGTGCATGCTGCTTAAGCTAGTGGGGCTGATTACATACTAACCTCCACAGTAGATCCTGAATATTTATGGGTGATGTTTATTACCATACCCTCCGGTCCCCAAATTTAAACATATCACTATAACATTAGCTTTCTTTTAGAAGCCATTCTTTACATTTCTCTTTCCTCTTTTTTCTTTTTTTTTAGTAAATATAGTCCAGAATTTTAATAGTATAACAAAATTAAGTTTATTCATTATTGTAGTGCTCATTGTTCACTCTTTCCAATAGTTTGCACTGTAGGTAAGTTGGCATTTTATAGGGATGTTGTTAGCAACTATGAAGAAACTTGTATTTCACTATTCCTTTTCCCTCTATTCTTGATCTATTCTGCTTTATAATTCCTATGATCCCAATATCCTATTTGTATTTTACAATTTTGAATTAATGTGTTTACTGTAAGTCAGTTGTTTGTGGAATAAGGCCAGGTATTAATAAATTTTTTAAAGCATCTTGAGAAATCTGGAGGAAAAAAGTTAATATGTTCTTCCTTGCTCTCTTCCGTGATTATTCTGGTAATTACGTATCTTGCTTTCTGGGAATCTATTTTGCTTTATTATTTTGCTTTACTTTGTTTTAATGCTAACTTTGAAGTTATGCTTCAAAATACTAAAATTCTGACGAATTAGAGAATTTTACTATAATAGTTTGCCTTTTACAAACTACATTATTTAACAATCACTATCATTTTGCCATTTGTTAAGTATTCATTTACAACAGTAGTTGAAGTTCAATTAGATACTAAAGAGTTTGTACTTGTTGTATACAGACTTTTAGATCTCAACTCAGTTCAGGAGAAGAAGGGGCTGTAATTGGTAAACAGGTACCAAACAAGAAGGTTAGAAGTGCTCCTCCTTTGTTTAAAAGAAAACCCCAGAGTGGATTATATGCATCAGTTAGAAGCTCAGGCTATGGGAAACCCAGTTCACCACTCAAGATGATTTCTACTCTTGAGAAGAAAATTTCAAAGGACATAAAGAGCAAAAACTTGAACTCCGTTCCCATCTCAAATCAAGCTAGGAAAAAAGGTAATCATATACTCTTTTCATAATAGAATTCCATGCATATAGTATATCCTTTTAGTTTCCTTGTTTTCATGGAAGAGAATTAATCTTAAGGCCTGCATTCATTTTCTAACAGACACAATTTACAAGAGGTGACAGGGCTTGACCCAAGGTGGTGGTGGTAGAAATGATAAAAAGTGGTTGGATAAGGATATAATTAGAAAGCATAACCCAAAATCAGAAGAATTGGTTTTGTTTTGCTAACGTTTTTGGCTCAAGCAACTGGAAGAATGGAGTTACTGTCAGCCAGGATAGGGAAAGCTCTGGTAGAGTAGATTTGGAAGTAGAGGAAAGACCAGGAGTTTAGTTTTCAAGATGGTAATTTTAGTATGTCTGTTCAACATGCAAGTGTAAATGACAAGAAGGCAATTAGATATAAAAGTCTGCAGTTCAAGAGGGAGGAATGATATCATTTGGCAATTGTTATCAAAAAAACTAATACAGGGCCAGCCCAGTGGCGCACTTAGTAGAGTGCGGCGCTTGGGAGCGCTGCGGCACTCCCGCCGAGGGTTCAGATCCCATATAGAGACCGGTCCACTCACTGGTTGAGCGCGGTGCGGTTCGCAACACCGTGGGTTGCGATCCCGTTGCCGGTCGCGGTACGGGCGCGACACCGAGGGTTGCGATCCCGTTACCGGTCACGAAAAAAGACAAAAAGGAAAAAAAATTAAAATAAAAATTTTAAAAAAAACCTATTACAGACAGTTTTTTAAACCTAAGACTGAGACTACCAAGAAAGTGAACATAGCTAGAGGGAAAAAAACAAACCAAGGCCTGCGGTCCAGGTGTGCTAACCTTAAGAGGTCAGGCAGAAGAGGAGGAACCTGCAAAGGAGACAGAGTGAAGTTGGAGGAAACCTGAGAGCACATGGATTCTGAAAAACAAGTTAAGAAACTGTATTAAGAAGAAGGATCCGCTCTGTCATTTGCTGCTGAGAAGTAAAAAAAGACGACGACTGAGAACTGATCTTTAGGTTTAGCAAGGAAGGAGGTTGTTAGTAAAGTGGACCAGCAGTTTCCATAAAGAGGTGGTGTGAAAGGCAGGCTGAATGGGAGTAGGAGGGAGTAGATGGAGTAGAATACGTGCTTCAAGTTGTAGACCACCCTGGAGGAAAGTTGCTATAAAAGGCAGCAAAAAATTGGGGCAGTAGCTGACGTTGAAGGGTGGGTCAAGAGAAGCTTTTTGTTTTGCTTTGCTTTGTTTTTAATGAGAGAAATGATTGTATGTTTGTATACTGTTAAAAAAGATTCAGTAGAAAAGAAAAAAAATTGACAATGTTGGAAAGGAAAGAATTACTGGAGCACTGTCCTTGAGTAAAGGAGCTGTAACGGGATCCAGTGCACAGTGGAAGAGTTGGAAGAAAGGAACACGCACAGTTCTTATGATCTAGGAACTGTGGAGGCAGATAGGAAGGGAGAGTATATGCTTGTAGGTGGATAGTTGTGGTGGGGAGAGAAGGTGGATGCTTTCTTCTGATTGCTTCAGTTTTCTCTGAGAAATAGAAAGTAATGTCATTATATGAGAGTGAGGATGGGGCACAGGTGTTGGCGGATTTAGGAGGGAAAAGAAGATGTGAAGTAGCCATCCAGTAGGATTAGATGATTAGCAGCCAGAAGAGTCTACTTGAAATTAGTGATCATCAATTTAAACCAAGTTGTACAGTTGGATTTACCAAGAAATATGGTTTTTGCCAAGAGACAACAATGAACTGAGAGAGAAGCACAAGGGAGCTGATTGATGGGTGTAAGAGAGTGACAAAATGGTTAACCATGGAATTGAAGTTGAGTGATGAAGGAGAAAGGACATCTAGAGGTTGTGGTACAATGTGAAACATGTAGGATCCATAGACTGGGAGTCCTAGGGGGATCAACAGATTGTTGGAATCCCAGTACTGGAAGGTGTGAGGTGGGAAGATGGAGATGACAAAGAGTAGGTGCCTAAGGCTGAGATTAGGGAGGGGTGGTTTTTTTGGTAATGGAAAGACCTGTACTATGTCAATGGGAGTGAATAGCTGAGATGGAGAGAAGTTCAGGGAACCAAAAGCCAGAGGACTGCAAGGATTACCTGAGTATATGAAATCACCAAGAAAGAAGATAGAAGCAATAACGTCCCAGTGAGTGGAGAAGAAACAAAGGAAATGAGGTAGAGGTTGATAGATGACAGCAACAATATTTTTATGAGTAAAGTGAAGTAATATTCTTAAAATTATTTTCCCATATTTCAAAATTTTACAGTGTTTGTGACAACTAGAATAAAAATAAAACACATTACTAAAAAGTGTAATGATGGACCATGACTTGTTGGTTTTTATACTTTACTTTTTCTCTTTAGACTATTAATTATGATTTTTTTAAAAATCTGTCTTTTTATTGAAGAATTGCCCAGAGCAGCCTTTGTTTTATTCAGAAGAGGTGTAATTCTTGTGGGATGGTTCTTACTTCTCCAGGAAGCAGACTCTGAGACAGAGATTAGTGTACAGAAGATATAGTGATGCAGTTGGGATCAACATTGTTAGGATGAAAAAGAAGCCTAGCTCCTGGGGCTTAACCAAATAAAAGGCTTCTCTTTTCAAAGAGTCCCAAGATAGGTAGTTCAGAGCTGGTATAGCTGTGCAAGGAACCAGATCCCTTTTTCTTTCCTGATGCAAAATCCTTAGAGTTTGGCTTTTGTCTTGTCACAAGATGGCTACTGAACCTCCAGGCCCTGTCCCTGAGGTAGGGTGAAAGGTAAAAGGTAGATGCCAGCCAAATCGTCAAGTTCTTCATCAGGAAATGCCGGAGACCAGCTCCAGTCGAGTTTGCGGGTCCTTGAAAGAGGGATGAGAAAGCCAGCGAAAATAAAAAACACAGACAGAGACCTCAATGCATCAGTATACATGTTCTCTCTCTGCAGGCTGTCAGCGTGTTGCAGCTGGAGCGCAGTAGAGCATGAGACAATGCCTTTTATTTAGTTTTTTCTCTGCAGGGGTTTTTTGGCTACTATTTTTATTACATCAGCAAGCTTAATAATTCAAAAAGGACTGGGGAAGCCAGTTTTTTTTTCTTCATTAGCACGTCTCAGGTGATTAGCTCGTGCTTCCTCCTTTTGGTATCAGGTTATCAGATTGGGACCATGTTCTCATTGTCCTGAAGTTAACCTGTGACCTTTTCCGGTTGGCAAGCTGTGGTTAATATCTACCCTATTAACAGGGTGGGACTATTGCAGTTGCAAAGTGATAGACAGTACTATCATATGACCTATGTCTATTGCTAACTGTGAGTACAAATTTGCTAAAAGGAACAATGTTAACATTTAACTTCTAATGGGGGTGTATTGATTTTATGTTCTAATGGAATGAACCTACTGTTCATATGGAAAAAGAACAGTGGATATTTGAGCAGCATGATCATGCACATTTTGAGGTTATGCATTCACTGTAGCCCTATAATCTCGATCTAAATGTTAAAGTGTCCTTGCGCACAGCACCATCCCTCACAAAACTAGGTGTACTCTCTTATTTTTCTAAGATCCAATTTTGCAGGTTTAATAATTTTACAGCATATATTTTTATCCCAACACCTGATTCGTAATGATTTATTTAAAACTGGATACCACCAAGTAAAGGGGTTTTTACAGTTTCATTCCCATATATTTAATTTGTCCCAATCATATAATTTCTCATTAATGCCAAC